CCCCCACCAGCACCCTGTTCCTTCCCTGCTCATCCTGCCTGTCCAAGGCATCTCTTAAACCTCTCTGTCCATCTTGAGTCACTTTCCATTGCCTTCCACCTCTGGCCCCAGTGATCTGATTTTCTGTTAGTGACACACACACCACTGGCAGCTGGGTGCTGAGAACACCTGGCCATCCAGCGCCTTGTGGGAAGTGAAGTGTGGGTTAGCTGCGGCACTAGGGAGGGCACAAGTGCCCACGCCAGGACTAGAGACCAGGCCGGGGGAGGAGGGGGCAGTATGTCAGTGCCTCTGGTGGGCTGGAGGCTTCAGCAGTGGGAACAGTCTGATGTGTGTGCTAGGACGATGTGCATGCTGGGAGTCTAGTGTAGGGCAGGGATGGGTACCAGACACTAAACCCTGATGGATGGACTGGCCACTGGCCATTTCTTGCTGCTTGGCCCTCAGCAACCTGAGCACCCGTCTCTGGCCTTTCCTACCTACTCCCAGGAGGATGAGCAGTAAGAAGGGGGTGCCCAGAGCTGTACCAGGGAAGGGGCAGAAGTTGGTTCTCGCAAGCAAGCCAAGACCCACTGCCGGTGAGTGCACCCTCCACCCTCTATGGGACCCCCATTCAAACACTGACCCGGGAGAGCCTCTCTGTAGCTACCCAGGACCCTCTGAGGAGGCCCTTCCCTTTAGAATGGTCTTCTAGGATGATGGGTTGGGGTCAGGTGTTATAGACCAGGTTTTGAGCTCTGATGTCCCTTCTAGACTGTGACCTTGTACCATGTAGCCCTTTGGGCTGCATGGGAGCCAGGGATCACTGCTCCAAGATGCACAGCTGTAGCACACACGAAGATGGCAGAGAGCAGGGCTGGACGTAAGGGGCCACTGTGGTCCAAGCGTGTGTTCTGAAGCAGCAGTCTCACTCTGCCTGCTCCACATGGGCCATGCACGGCTTTCCCTTGCTTGTTGCTTCTCCCTCAGGTCACCCTCTCCATCATCACGTCCAGGCTGAGCAGTAAGCTCAGGAAAGAGACCATCTGCTGCCTAGCCCCAGCCCGCCCCCAGTTTTCACCCCTTCTCTGTTAGAATGCACATCAGAGGACCGTCCAGCTCCTACGCCTGCCTGCAGGGGGTCTGTGTCTGCTAATGGGGCATAGAGACCACACCTCCCTGTGTCCCCCCCTCCCCCATTGCTAGTCCACAGGGCTCCTGCTTCACAGGGTCCAGTGGGAGGGTGGTGGCTGTTTTCTTTCATTTATGGCAAGTGGGAGTTAACCCTAGGTCCCCAAAATAGCCCCAGCCGCGTCTGAGGCCAGCAGTCGTCCAGGAATGAGGATAATAGGGTACAAGCGTCGCATACCGCCTCTCCAGTCTCAGGCTGCCAGGCACACACATTCCAATAAACAGGAAGCAGCCCAGAGCCGTGGGGGGCATGTGCCCAGCCCTGCTGCCTTTGGCCTCTGTCCACCCAGTCATGCCTTGGGTAGCCCTTGCAGCTAACTGCCCTACTGGCTGGCCCAGGACACCCAGGTCCTCAATGTCCTGAACACACACACTCCGTGGGCACATTCAGAGCACCCAGCTGATTCCAGCCCTCCATGAGCTTTCTGGTGGGCAGTCTTTGCTGCACTCTGGGTAGTGGGCACCTCCCATGGCAGCCTGGACGTAGGGCGCAGTCCAGTGGACCATCACAGACATCCCCAGGGCCACTATGACCCCACACGCCAAGTACTGTCCCATGCCGCCTGCAGGCCTTACCTGGCCAGGGGTCTGCGCTTCCTCCAGGCCCTCGCTGCGAAGCTGCTCCAAGGCCATGGCCAACTCCAACCCCTCCACCTGCACCCAGGCCTGTGCCTCCTGCAGCTGTTGCAACCACAGCTGCTCCTCCTGCAGCTGCTGCAACCACAGCTGCTCCTCCTGCCACTGCTGCATCTGCAGCTGGATCTGCCGCCTCCGGTCCTCCAGCAGCAGCTGTTCCTGAGCCAGACACAGCTGCACCTCGTGGAGTCTGAGCAGCTCCGGGCCCAGGCCTGGCATCAGGCCCTCATCCCCGCAGTACTCCATGGCTGAAGCGGGGATTAATGCCAGCTCAGACCCTGGCACAGCGGCCTGCATTGGCCTCCTGGATGCCTGTGGCCGCTCTGGACTAGCCACCTTGCGGTGGCCCTGGTGAGCCGGCTGGCTGCTGGTCACGTGTCCTGCGGGGTCCACCCCCGCCGCCTCCCCAGGGCCCCCTGCAGCAGGGGGTGGGGGTTGCGCCTCGGGTCCCTGCTGCCTGGCTCCCCTTGTTTCCCTGCCTGCCCTCCTGGCTCGGGCTCTACGAGATCGCCCTCGCTTCCCAGACATGGCCCTGGCTGGCTGCCTCTGCTACCGAGTGTCTGCTCCCCCAGGGCCCAGCTCATCGGTCTGCCTGGTGGAGGTCAGCTGGCCCCGCGGGCAGCTCTGCCCCTGGCCTGCCTGGTAGTATCGCGCCGGCTCAGTTCTGCCTGTGGGCCTGGCGGGGCCCCACTCTGCCGGCTGGGCCACGCAGGGGTTTATAGAACTTCAGGCGCGGTGATCCCAGCAGAGCAGGCTGACTAACATGCTGACGGGGCGGCGGCATTTACGGGCCACAGGCCCCGCTGGCCAGACTGGGAAGGAGGCTGGGAGAAACTGGAGGCGGCTCTCGCAGCCGAGAGCGGCGGTACCCACGATGGGGCACGGGGCTTGTCTGCTCCTGCCCAGGCGGGCGCCCGCCCCTGCCCCACCCTGCTCGCGGGAAACTTAAACTCCAGGCCACCAGGCCGGCCCTGCCACAGTGACTGTCTACACCCAGGTCCTCACAGTCACGGGACCGGGAGACCCAGCACACACCGAGAACCCTACACAGCCCTGCTCAGGTCCCATTGCAGACTGGGCCGGCCAGCACCCTCATAGGGCTGGGGGCTGCATGTGGCCTGGAGGCAGGGAACTGGACTGCAAAGGCCCATGCAACGTTCTTTGCTCAGGGGACCTGCGGGGAAACTCTAGACGCAGCTGCAATTGCAGGCACTGGCTGAGCTGGGCCCGTGCACTGTCTGGGTCTTCGGGGGCTGACCTGGGGGTGTGTGTGTGTCGTGGTGGTGGTGCTGGTGGTGGAGGGGCAGGGGCCACTGGCCAGCCGAGATGGTGGCTGGCTTCCTGTGGGAAGTGAAGCTCCAGCGTTTCCCCAGCCCGGGGGAGGTTGACTCACCCCCACGCCCAGGGCCCAGGAACCGGGGCGGCAGCTGTTCGGCACTGGCCCGACTGGTTTACTCGGCCAGCCCCACCCAGCGCCCCACCCCGTTGCACCCGGCTCGTCCAGACCTTGGTCTCAGAGGCTTGAAGACGAGATGGTGGAACAACGGGACTCTTGGAGAGTGGGCGGGGGTAGGGGGTGCACAGAAGCCTGGGGAGGGGAGCGGGCCGGACGCTCCAAGAGCTAGGTAGGGTACAGGGGTGGGGCCGGCAGCAGGAGGGGCAGGGACTGCGGGGTCCCCAGGCGGTGGTGTTTGCAGTAGACGGACGCTTAGCGCTGCTCGTTAAAGGTGTCGCGTGGTGCCGCTCCGGAGGCTCGTTAATGCCCAGGACGCGCAGCCCTCCCTGGGCCCCATAAACACCTCCTGAGAATGGGGGAGCGTGGGTTCACCTCTGACCAGACTAACTGAACACCTCTCCCCTAAGGCAAGCCAGCCAAGGACTGCCGACCACCCAGGAAGACAGGCCAGGAGACAAGGGAGCCCACGCCGCCCGTGGGCCCCAACGCCCCCAGAGGTGAGGCCCGGGACCCCACTCTCCTCTCCAGGGGCGGGGCTGGGACACGTTTGTGCCTGGGTTGGTGAGCAGACCGGCCCCTGGCTCGGGGGTGTGTCCTGCGTGAAGGTGGGGGGCGTGCCCTTCTGGAGGGTGGGCGGGGCGGTTTGGGTACCTCCTAGCTCACCGCTCCTGCTTACTCCCGCTTTCCGTGCGAAAGTAGGTTTGAGGGCGGCCCTGGGCTGGAGGACCCGGTGCCCCAATTCTGCCCCCCTCCCGCACGGGTCCCCTCCACGCCTCTCACCCTCGGTAGCGATTGATCCGCGTAGGACACCGTGTGGTTCCTGCCTTGCGGTGGCGCCCTCTTGTGACCGGCAAGGGAGCCGACTGCCCCAGGGCCCGTCAGCCTGACCTCGCTGCGATCCTCAGCCTCCAGGCTGGGCTTTGCCTTCCTTCGGCCTCGGCCCCAGGCCCTGTCTTCTCACTCCACCGCGAGCTTCGATCGAGGTCTCGTGTACTCAATTCTCATATCTGCACACATTTTTCTCTGTGCTCCAAATCGCATATTCACCAAAGAGTCTCCTACCGAGTGTTCCAGCAACTTCGAATTTAGCAGCACACCCCAAATTAAAAATCCCTCTTTTATAGGGTCCTATCCTCCAGCACGGAGCTCTGGTAGCGTAGTGGTTACAAATCGGGCTGTGAACCTTAAGGTCAGCGGTTCGAAACTACCAGCTGCTCCGCGGGAGAACGATGAGGCTTTCTACTCCCGTAAGGATTTACACCCTCGGAAACCCTGTACAGGGTCGCTATGGGTCGGAACCGACTCGATGGCACTTAACAACAACAACAACATGTTATATGATACTGGTAAATTGATCATAGCCATTTATTAAAACTGTGGTAATATGTGTTGATGTTACATGTCTTCGAGTCGGTTCTGACACATAGCAACCTTATATAGGGGTTCCGAGGCTTTTAAATCTTTGCAGGAGCAGAAAGCCTCATCTTTCTCCTGTGGAGCGACTGGTGGGATCGAACTGCAGACCTTGTGGTTAATTCGCAGTCCAGTGCTTATCATGTGGAGCCACCATGCTTGTGTGATAATATATATATATATATATTTAGATATAAAACAAAACAATTCAGCATTTCTTACATGTACAGTTCACTGACATTGATTACATTCATTATGGTAGATACCAGTCTCCCTATCTGTATCCAAACTGATCCCTTAGCATTTTGAGTTTTGCAAAGTTGAGAATACACAGAAATGTATGTATTTTAAATGACGGTGTGTACTGCAGTTACTCAGGAGCTGCTTTTGATTCACATTAAGCTGTTTTCAGAAAGTTCAAACAAACAAAACACACTGTTGAAAGAGTGTATGCTACAATCTGAGGTGTTGTAATCTTGGTTCTGTGTGAATGCTTTCCCAAAGTTTACAGTACTGTGTAGTTGTAGTAAGTATTTCTTCTCCATCCTCCATGTGGATCCTTAAATTCTACTGAATCCTAGATACAAGTGAGAGGGAATACTTGAAAACAGGGAAGACTGCGTTCCAACCAACGTGTCGGGTCTGGTCCTGTTTCAGTCTCCTGGAGTTTCTTAGAAACTTGGCCTTCTTTTTGGAGATATTGTTCTTACTTGACATCGAGTCCGTTCCAACTCATTGGGACCCCGTGCACGACAGATCTGAACACAGGCCAGTCGGGCGCCGGCCTCATGGTCATGTCTGTGTTGGAACCCCTGCCGCAACCGTTCTGTCGCTCATCACACTGGGCTTTTCTTCTCTGTCGTCTGTGAGATGACATCTTGCTGTCCTCCTACGGCACATTCTGCCGTACTTCTCACAAAACAAATTAGTTTCTTCTTCTGGCAGTCCATGGTACATTTAATATTTTTTGCCAACACCAAAATCCAAAGGCATCAATTCTTCAATGTTGTTGTTAGGTGCCATAGAGTCGATACTGACTCATAGCGACCTTATGCACAGCAGAAGGAAACACTGCCTGATCCTGGGCCAACCTCACTACTGTTGCCTTGAATCCTACTAGTTGTTGTTGTTGTGAAGTGCTGTCAAGTCAGTTCTGACCCACAGCGACCCTGGATAGGGTTTCCGAGGAGCAGCTGGTGAGCTTGAACCACCAATCTTGCAGTTCAAACGGCTTTGCGGTCTGGTGCATTAACCCACAGCGCCCTACTAGTAGCAGATATAGATTTGTATTTTCTATTGCTGTGTAACAAGTTGCCACAAATGTATTAATTTAAACAACGCACATCACGACCTCACAGTGTCTGTATGGTGAGGATCTGACGCACATCACGACCTCACAGTGTCTGTATGGGATCTGACGTGCATCTCGACCTCACAGTAGTGTCTGTATGGTGGGGATCTGGCTACAACCTAGGCTACTTATAGAGATTTACAGGCTGTGCTCAAGGTGTTGCCTGGGACTGTAGACTCGTATGGAAACTTGACTAGGGAAGAATTCTCTTCCCAATTGATTCACATTCTTGGCAAACTTCATTTCCTTATCTTTTCACTGGCTGTTGGCTAGAGGCTACTCTTCTGTCATAGAAACTACCCACAGTTCCTTGTCATGTGGTCTTTCCTCAGGACCAACAGGAGAGCCAGTTGACTAGGATGGGACTTACACTCATGGGGGTCTATGACTTTGACCTGTTCTATTGGCTGGAAGCATTTACACATTCCCCCCCCCCCCAACAAGGGCTTACACAGGTGTAAAGCATTGGAGGTGCCTTAGAACATGTCGATCGTGAGTTGTCCTTGTTGTTGTTGTGAAGTACCTATCTCACAGTCACCCTGTACAGGGTTTCCGAGGAGCAGCTGGTGGATTTGAACAGCTAACCTTGTGGTTGGCAGTCCATTGCACATCCTACAGCATCCCATCAGAACTTCCAGAGGTACCCTAGTGTTTGTTGTTTTTGTGGTATTGAGTCAGTTCTGACTCATCGAGATCCTGTATAGGGTTTCCAAAGAGTGACTAGTGGGTTTGAACTGCTGACCTTGTGGTTGGCAGTCCAGTGCTGACCTTACAGCACCGCATCAGGACTCCAGAGCTACCCTAGAATTGGCAAAATATTCTTGAATTCTTTAAGTCTAACTGTCCATTTTCCTGAATTGCAAAAACTTGAGAGCACTTTAAGGACTTATTGTCTTGATAGACATATATTGTTGATGTTGTTGTTGTTGTTGTTATTAAGTGCCATCGAGTCAGGCCCGACCCATAGCGACCCTGTACAGGGTTTCCGAGTTGAGATTATATATGTATATAGTTGTTGTTAAGTGCTGTTGAGTCAATTCCGACACATAACGACCCTGTATAGGGTTTACAAGGAGCAGCTGGTGAGCCTGAACCAGTACCACACTAGGAGTCCATACATATATAGTTGGTTATTATTAAATCCCATTGATTCAGCTTCCTTTCCTAACGATCCTGTATAGGGTTTCCAAGGAGAAGCTGGTGGGTTTGAACTACCTACCTTGGGATTATCCTATAGTGAGCGCCACATCAGGACTCCCTAAAACTAAAATGATTTAGTACACACTATTATTTTATTTTGGAGTCCTAGTGTGGTACTGCAGGTTAATGTGCTGGACTGCGAGGTCAGTTTGGACCTCAAGGTCACTGGCTCAAGCTCACCAGCCGCTCCTTGGAAACCCTATGCAGGGTCACTATGGGTTGGAACTGACTCGACCACAACAATGACAATGGTTTAATTTGACCTTTTGCCACCCTTCACCTGTCAGTTTGTTATTTGTGTTGGCTTGTGTGTGGTTGCAGTGCTGAAAGCCATGCCATCGGTATTTGAGATGCCAGCAGGGTCACTTCTGGTGGACAGGTTCTAGTGGAGCCTCCAGACTAAGACAGACGCGGAATGTCAGCCACTTATGACAGATGGTCTCATACGCTGCTGGAAGAGTAGCCCCTCAGGCTAGAAGGAACTTAAAATCCCACTGGGGAAGAGCTGCCTCCTCCTGAGCTGACCTTAATGACATGGTAGAGTAAGGTTTCTGCGACCTTCATTTGCTGATGGGCATAACTCAAAATCAGAAGACGCAGCAGGGTGGCCACTTGCCCCTGGCGGGTTGGTGAGCAGTGGAGTTAGTGGGCAGTGGTGGGGACGGCCATGCCTTCTCCTGCGCAGACCCTGTGTTGAGTGACCTAGCTGCAGTGAGGCGTTGGGGTCGCTGGTATCTACTGCTGAGGGAGGGAGTGTGTCCACAGGGTATTGTGAGCCCATTGGAGTGAGACCTGGATTGTTGTGGGCCTGGCTAGAGGCCAGCCACCTGGGGGTCATTGCGTGGTCCGCCTACTAGGGAGGAGCTTGAGAATGCCCGCATCTTACCCCAGATAGTTCTCTACAGGGCTGATTCAGAAACTTGGTCTGAATTAGTCTGGAAGAGTGTCATGGTCAACATTAGTCCTTGAGAAGTGATTTCCCAAACAGTGCTAAGTCCTCGGGATTGTTATCCCAGGAAGTGCAGGGATTCCGGTGGGCTGAGGCAGTGGTCCACCATTGGAAATGGAAATTGGAGAACCTGGTTTTGCCCTTTTATTCCCTCAAACTGAAGGAATAAAAATACAGTCCTTTCATTTTATTAAGGATTCAATGAAAGCAACATGAGAAAGACACCAACTCACTGAAGTAGGTCTTTTAGAGAGAACCCGGAGCTTTGTGTGGTCCTGGCATTTGCCTACAATTGCCGTAAGGTGGAGGCCATCAGTTATCTGCAGTCAGTGGTCCTGGTCCCTTAGCAACACAGAGGCTGTGGTGCAGCGCCTGAAAGCTGCCAACATTCCAGAACATGGCTTCATGTTTGCATGTGTGGACAGGGGCTTTTCTGTAGTGCTAAGGGCAAGTTGGGTCTGATGCATTCAGAAAGTTTCTTCCTAATATTCCCTTATTTGGTTTCTTTGGAACTGGAGCAATTGGGTGTGATGGACTGTACCTGGGAATTTAGTCCTGAGGCAATGTAACAAGGCAGAGGATGATGATGGGTTTCGTAGCTATACAATAAGAATGACACTTGGGGATCTGGAGTACTATTGTGTATCGCAAACAAAAATAATTGTAGATGTATCTGTTTTGTAGCTTTGATGCTCTAAAGATCACATGGGGGTGCTTTTCAATATAGAATGTGAAAGACCCTGTATGTAACCGAACAGAAAACAAGAGTCAAGAGCTTTGTTTGGCATCAGACACAGCAAACCGACTTTGGTTCTGTGGCAGGCAACTCGCTCCGAAGCTGCTGCTGGTGGGGTGGGGGTGGGGGACTCCCCCGACCTTCCTGCAGAAGAAGACCACGAGACCTCAGCAACGGGGTGGAGACTGAAGACATTCCAGACACTTCTCTGCAGTGTTAGGTGGTCTGCTAGCAGAGGCAGGAAGACTTCTTTCTCCTCTAGTAAAGTAAGAAAATACACAGATGGTTTGTGGTTTAAGAAAGCTTTCTCTACTCAGTTTTTTCAAAAGTCATC